AAGGCAGTTATTGGAAGGAGGACTGAATGTGGAAGCTAAACCTTTATGTGTGAGCCCTTTAGTTGAGTGTGTGATTCGCCTTTAAAGGCAAATCCCTTGAACTTTCTGAGGGTCAAGTTTTCTTACCTGTCAAATGCAAATAATAATTTATTGTTTAGTCATGTCCAACTTTCCATGATGCCATTTTGAGGTTTTCTTGGGAAAAATACAGGAGTGGGTTGCCATTTCCTTCTCCAACTCATTTTACAGATGAGGAAACTGAGGCAAGCAGGATTAAGTGGTTTACCCATGGTCAACAGCTAGTAAGTATCATGAGTTGAACTCATAAAGATGAGTTTTCCTGATTCCAGGCCCAGTGCCCTATCCACTGCACTATCTATATGTCTTCAAATTATAATATGTTTCTTTTAAACAAATAGGGATAATATTATCACCTACTCCATGTGGTTGTTGTAAGTATTAAACGAGGTGACAGATATAAAATGCTTTGGAGCATAGAGTCCCATACAAAGTTATGGAAAATTAACCACCATGGTGGGAGCAAGAAAACCGCTTTGAATAAAGCAGTTTATATGCAATATTTGATACAAACTGAGTCTCTGTGGGTGTTCTGTAACTTTTCAGAGAGAAAGAGAGAAATGGATGAATGAAAGACTTCCACTATTTTAATTTCCCTGATTTCTATCCTAGATTAAGAGTGATTTAGTCAAATTCCCAGAAATTTAGAGTAACAGAATTCTAGGCATATCTAATTCACTAATTCAGTATTTATGGACCATATGCAGAAGTCATCTGGGCTCTTTTGCAAATAGACTGAAGGCCCTTAAAAAGGGTTGGGCAGAGTCAATCAATCAGGCCATCTGCAAATGAGCAGATTGAGGTCCATGTGGACCATAAGCTTGAAAAAGTTTATGATATTACCAGAGCTCCAGAAGTCTGTTTATAAAACAGAATGAAATTATTTTTTGTTAATTGAAGTATTTTCTTGCAATTCCTTTAAGTAAGGTTTAAATCATAGAAAACTGGTAAGCAGTATATATAAAAGAAGAAGAAGAAGAAGAAGAAGATGAAGATGAAGATGAAGAAGAAATAATACTAATCCATAAAAGATGCTGTGTGAGAGCCCTTTGCCTAAAAGACAAATTCATGGGGCCTGGAAGATACGGAATGAGAGTCTTTTTGGAAGACTGACAGTGTATTTCAGTTAAACATATATTAAGTACTTCTGGTGTTCAGACCTGGCCCTGCTATTCATACAGTCACATTATGGGACTATCTCTGATGCTTTAGGGCATGTGTTAAGAATGATAAGCTTGGAAGTATAGGTGTGGTTCTATAGGAATGACTGGGATTGTTTTCCACGGTAAGTCTAAAGTACACTCTTTGATAGTATCTGGCTTCCTTGAGTTTTCTGGGCTTTCCAAGGGGCAAAATTGAAGGGGAGGAAACAATACAGGGGGTGCCATCTGGTAACTGGTGGAGCCCGCAAGTATTATATTTGTCTTTGGCTAGGCTTCATTGTCAAGGCTTGGGCTGAGTCCTCTGCTGGCTAGTGTTTGTTTTGTGGTACCAGATGCCAAGGGCAGTGAGGTTGTAAGAGTTCTGACAACTCAGCATCAGGAAAACCATGCAGGGTGTTGGGATCAAGTGCCCTAGTACCCACAGATGGTGGGAATATCATTTGCTATGATTATGATATTGCGATAGTGGATGCCACTTTTGGAAAGAATTGTTATCTAAGCAGGTCAACAGCTGGTTTCATTCATTGGAATCCTGGATGAGTTGTTATAAGTTTCTGTATTTCTAGTTACATTATGTTTCCTGGGAACTGGACTCTATTCTTTAAATTTTTAAATATTGACTCCACAGGCCATAAACTCCCCATTTTCTTTACATTCAGAAATTTGGCAGTAATTCAGTTCAGCAATGGTGGTCTCCTTTCCCAGTGGGGCTAGTATTGGAGAATGAGCACTCTTCCATCCGATAGAATGTCTGTAGTGAGGATGATAGTAAATGGAAACAGCCCTTCCTCCAAGGAGAACTGAAGCTGTAAGAACTAGCAGTAGCACTTATCCCTAGGTTTTCTCACTGAGATCATTAAGAGAGACCGAAAGAAGCCTTTGGTATAAGAATTGTTTGAGACGCTTAGGGCATTGAAGGGAAAGAGCATGGATGAAGATCTCCAACTATTTATCTTCTGCCTGTGGAGGTGGGGGAGGACGTCTAGACCAGCTGACAGTGGCACCGGGGAGGTCTGGCATGCCCATCCTTCCTCATTCTCATTCCTTATGTTTGCCAAGCAATGACTGCACCAGTTTGTAGAGTTAAGTGCTTTCTACCTCTGTGATGTTATTGGATAATGCCACATACTGATCAATTCAACTCAGCCAACATTAAGACCTTCTCTTGGGTTTCTCCTAGTGGGGGTTCCTCCTGGGAAAGAGAGGTCCTACTGTAAATTATTCGGTTGACTTTCTGATACAAATCAATATGATGTCAG